CTTGTCTCGCAACAATATTCTTTGTAATGAATCTCCCAGAACACCTATTGTCGCGATTTTTTCAACTTATGTGGGACATGTTTGCCAATTTTTTTTATGTTTCATTTCCGTCTTATGTGAACGATCGGTATGCCCATCTCGTTACAGAAAAAAGGTCTCTTTCAACAGCTTGTTTCTGGTTTACCTTTTTTATCCGTATTCCCTCTTTAACAACTATCTCGTTTTCTACTGCCTTAGGGAGCGTCAGATTCTCATTTCCCTCTTGCGGACCAGTAGTCTGGGCGAGAAAGAGATCTCTCCGGTAATTAACCACCGCCTTTGCGGTCACCAGCGACCACGAGGTGGTGCGGACAGCAGCACCTGTTTGGACGACCTAGATTCAGCTGCCTGGCGTGTTACCGACGCCTTCAATCGCTCCACCGTCACCCACCTTGTCTCTCCCAAACCCTTTGTACGAACAGTAAACCTGTTCAAGTGCATTCTCGCCAACGTGCCTGTCGTTAGCCAGGAGTGGGTTGTTCAGTCGGCCCAGCGGAACAGGTGGCTTCCACACAGTGATTTTGTTGTAAGTCTTTGTGGACGATTTTTCCAGCTACATAGGCTGCCTATTGCAGAACATTTATTTTATCCTGCAGTTACGCGTACTTAAAAGGTCCCTTTTTCTTTATTTCATACGATACCGTTATCCACTTAATTGTCTGCAAGGCCGACTTTTAACATATCTGAATCAGACCTCCGCCATATCTGCTGATAGAATGTCATGAATTAAATGGCGAAATATTTACGAACTAGCGCGGAAGCCCGGCTTCGCCTTGGCTTCCTTACCCATTGTTGTCCTTTTATGAAGGAAAAAGGGTAAGTGACCTCTGCAGTAAAACTTTTTGAAACAATTAATACCTACGAAGGATAAGCAAACAGTAATGAAGAACGGTATGGAAAGACGGAGAACTGTAATTGTGCAAACGGAGAGAGTGCGGTACGTAACCACTAAAGGAAAACGTGGTAGACTTCAAAGGGGAACAGTATGGACACACGTAAAAGTAATAATGGGAGGGACGAAGGTAGGGTAAAACGGCGA